AATGAAGTTTTGTTTGCTTCTTATGGCTGTGGGAGTCTTTCCTCTGAGTTTATTAAATCCCTGAGTTTGTGGACAAACTACATGTGGACAAACCCACACAAACAAATGTAACTGCAACCAGAAACTGGTTTGACAGCATCTGAGCAAACGGACTGAATTGTGCTTTATAGACACATTTGTTTAATGTGTATAACATTCCCTTAGTTCAGTTTTTCCTCCCTGAGTAATTTCTGTTTAGAAATCTTCCCAGCACACAGACGGTTCTCTCCCACACATTCTGTCCTCATACATGCAACCCGGAGAAGAGAAGGGAAAACACAAATATGACCAGTATTTCATGAAACCTGAGCTTATTGTAATAGTCATGAAATTAAATGCCTAACCATGTCTGTAAATGGTGGGTGGTGGTTGAAATGGTCTCCACAGGAAACTACATGTATGAGACTGTGACATAGAGAGAAATAGCAAAAAATATTCTTAAATCAGTGTAAAATGCTAAATATATACTCTTTGTGGAGCACATGCAGAAGAGTAAACTGCACTGCCATGCTGGGTACCTGGCTGTGTATTTGTCACTGGAACAAAACAATTGACACACAAGAACAGTTTGCAATTGCCCCTTGCTCACAGTCAAGTGTTTTAATAACAAATAGCAGTCCGCTCACTCACCACAGTGACAGCATCATTGAAGAGGCACTCTCCGAACACTACGATGTAGAGCTGCTCGTTCACAGACACGTCCTCAAACACGTTGAGCACAGCCACGGGGTCCACGGCCGAGATGATGGCAGAGAAAAGCAGGTTCTCCTGGAGGTTGATGTCTTGCACGCCAAAGGCCGGAATCTGGCATATGGCGAACAGAGAGATGCCGATGCCAATGCTGTTCCACAGCGTCCCCACCACGGCGAACCAGAACACCTGCATGAAAACAGCAACAAAACTGTCAAAGTTGAGCAGGAAGCTGACCCGAGTTAGAGAAACGGTGCCTGATTTGAAACGAACCGTGCCAATGTTCTCAAAGAAAGGCCTGGTGGGCATGAAGTAGCCTGACTCCAGGACAATTAGGGGCAGCATGTAGAGGAAGAAGACATTACTGGTGAGCACAGCGGGGGGCTCCTCGTGAACAGAGTGCATGATAGCGCCCACTATCAGGCCGATGCTGATGAGAAGGCACGACTCAGGCACCCAGATGGTGATCTTGTGGTACACATGAAAACCTGAAAAGAGGAGGAAAAAAGGTCACAGTGAGCAGCAAGATGAGAAACCACACCTGTTGGCACATATGGGACTGTTACTCACCAATTTTTGCAAAAGAAGCCAGCAGCACCCAAAGAGTAATTTCAAAGGGAATCTGGATTCTTGGATAATTCATTGTAAACACGGGTAAATTATTTTTCTGGTCCTCTGCATAAGTCTGGACTCCATCATTAGGCTTAACCGATGGCAAAATCGTGGCTGCAATTGGTTTAGAAGGTATTTCGCCTCTGGAGCCATGCAGAAGAATTAAAATCATGCAAATAAACAGCAGAGTCCCAGCTTGTCTGATAAAAACTAAATTCATAGTGCAAAAATTAAGTAATAGTCTCACAGTAATACAAACTGGCGTGAATATCAGCGCTGTTAAGATTTAATAACTCTAACCAACTTCACAAAAGTTGGCCCCGGATGATCGAGTCTTCTTCACAGTGCCGGACTACGACACACCTGCGATCTACCTGAGTCCACGAGTTTCGATACTCATTGGGTGAGACCACGAGCCCTGCTCTGATTGGGCGTCACCTGAGGTAGATAAAAAAGGTGGGACGAGGCGTTTCTGTGCCATTCAGGGGCCAGTGGCGAGTTTCGGTGACAGAAGTTTCAGCTTTCACGT